CTTGTAGAGTTTTTGCTGAGAGATCTGCTGTTAGTCTGATGGGGTTCCCTTTGTGGGTAACCCAACCTTTGTCTCTGGCTGCCCTTAACATTTTTTCCTTCCTTTCAACTTTGGTGAATCTGACAATTATGTGTCTTGGAGTTGCTCTTCTCGAGGAGTATCTTTGTGGCGTTCTCTGTATTTCCTGAATTTGAATGCTGACCTGCCTTGCTAGGTTGGGGAAGTTCTCCTGGATAATATCCTGAAGAGTGTTTTCCAACTTGGTTCCATTCTCCCCGTCACTTTCAGGTACACCAGTCAGATGTAGATTTGGTCTTTTCACGTAATCCCATATTTCTTGGAGGCTTTGTTCATTTCTTTTTACTCTTTTTTTCTCTAAACTTTTCACTTCATTTAATTCATTTGATCTTCAATCACTGATACCCTTTCCTTCAGTTGATTGAATCGGCTACTGAAGCTTGTGCATGTGTCACGTAGTTCTTGTGCCATGGTTTTCAGCTCTATCAGGTCATTTAAGGACTTTTCTGCATTGGTTATTCTAGTTAGCCATTCGTCTAATCTTTTTTCAAGGTTTTTAGCTTCTTTGCGATGGGTTCGAATATCCTCCTTTATTTAGCTCGGAGAAGTTTGAGTATCTGAAGCCTTCTTCTCTCAACTCATCAAAGTCATCCTCTGTCCAGCTTTGTTCCATTGCTGGTGAGGAGCTGCGTTCCTTTGGACGAGACGAGGTGCTCTGATTTTTAGGAGTTTCAGCTTTTCTGCTCTGGTTTTTCTCCATCCTTGTGGTTTTGTCTTCCTTTGGTCTTTGATGATGGTGACGTACAGATGGGGTTTTGGTGTAGATGTCCTTTCTGTTTGTTAGTTTTCCTTCTAACAGGACCCTCAGCTGCAGGTCTGTTGGAGTTTGCTGGAGGTCCACTCCAGACCCTGTTTGCCTGGGTATCACCAGCGAAGGCTGCAGAACAGTGAATATTGCAGAACAGCAAATGTTGTTGCCTGATTGTTCCTCTGGAAGCTTTGTCTCAGAGGGGCACCTGGCCATATGAGGTGTAATTTGGCCCCTACCAGGAGGTACCTCCCAGTTATGCTACTTGGGTGTCAGGGACCCACTTGAGGAGGCATCTGTCTGTTCTCAGATCTCAAACTCCGTGCTGGGAGAGCTACTACTCTTTTCAAAGCTCAGTTGGAAATGCAGAAATCACCTGTCTTCTGCATTGCTCACGCTGGGAGCTGTAGACTGGAGCTGTTCCTATTTGGCCATCTTGGAACCTCCCTCTTCATTTATTTGTTACAGAAATATTTACTGACCTCCTAATCTTCGTGCCAGGACTTTTGGTGAGTAAGACAAAAGGCTCTCATTTTCACTCAACCTCTCTGTCCCCATTTCTTGGACAAATTGTGTAGGACATTTTAACATTGAGCAAGTATTCATTCATTCATTCATTCATTCATTCATTCATTCACTCATCCATCCATCCATTCAATATGTGTTTGAGTGTGTATAATACAAATACATTATTGTGAGATATTAAAAAAAGGACATCTCTGCTCTCAAGGACCTTGCAAGCTTGTTTGTTCACCAACCAGTCATTTATTTAAAAAAAAAAAAAAAGAAAAAAGTGCCTTGAGCTAGTAGGCAATGTGCCAGGTCAGTGCTAGGGAAATACAGAGATGAACAAGAGCATACAGTCGGTCCCTGGAGGGCTACGCCTCAGCCTGGAGAGGCAAGCAGCTTGTAACATCTTTGGAAGCATGCAGTGTGGTAAATGACAATAATGAGCTCTTCCCACTGTATTGCGAGAGTGCAAAGGATGAGCACAGAAGTGGAGTTTCCAGAATTAGTTCTGTGTGGGTGAAAGGTCAAGATGTGACTCTCCATTTGACCTTTTAGTTGAGTCTGGAGAGAAGGGTTGGCTTGGAAAGGAGATTGGAGGGAGTTCCAATCAGAAGAAACAGTTTAAGTGATGATAAAGAGCTATAAGGCACGATGACAGCTTTACAAAACTGCAGATACTTTATTTTCATTTGGCCATGGAAGGTGGGGGTAGATGAATTCTAATGTAGTGAAACAATTGCAACAGAAATGTCAGTAACTAAGTCCTTGTAGTATTGGCACAATATGTAGTGCAATGAAATAGATAGCCCAGATATGGACAGACATACTATGTGATAAAGTGGATATCACAGATCAACAGGGTGTTAAGTAATAATATTGAGACGATTGATAAAGTATTTGGAAAAAAAATAGATTCTTACTCCAGATGATTTTTAGTTAGGGCTTAGGGGCTAGGCATTTAGAAATTTGAGAATTAGGATTGCTTTCTGTGAATTAAAATTTAAGATCAACAATTTAAGATCAACAGTAATTAAAAAATAAGATCAACAGAGGGTGGGTGGGTGTGTATATGTAAAACAAGTTATCTTAACCAAATATCTTGCCTACTGCCTACTGCCACCTCGTTGAATGTGTCAGTCCTATGAACATGGCCAGCTTCATGGGCCCTGCACTCACGAGGGCCGTGCATTTGGTTTAATGCTCTGCTCTTGTTGTCCTTTGGAAAGTCTTAATTCCATATATGGTTTTTGTTTGTTTGTTTGTTTTGTTTTGTTTTGCACTAGGCCATACAAATTATGTAGCAGTCCTGCCTGTGAAGTTGGCCATCTCTGGGGACAGAAAGTTAGAGAGCTAAGCTTTAGAAGTAGATGTCCTTGTGCTCTCTAGAAAGTTGCAGCCAACCCAGTTAAAGTATCCTGGACACATTGGCAGGGCCATCCCTATAGAGTGCCTCAGGCTGTCCAGCTTGATGCCATGAAACATTCAATTTATTTAACAAAGTTTCCTGTTTCCCATTTCCTGCTCACCAAGCAATCTTTCAGTAGTGACTTGGCTGCTGCTTTGGTTTTCCAGCAGGGAGAGATCTAGCTAGTTGTGCTGGTCCGATCCTTCATTCAGGAAGGTAGTTAGTAAATTGGCATTCTGGTTTCATATGTCAGTGAGATTCTTTAATGTGAGCCTGCTTCTGCATGACTGGTCTATTTCTGTTACATTTCTGAGACTGAAGGCTGATGTCCAGGAATTATGCTGGTAAATTCACCAAAGCAGTCATGTGTAGAATAGTGGTTAAGAGCAAGAGCTTTGGAGTCAAGACAGACAATCCTGGATAAAATGTGGGTCCTGTCACTTACTAGGATGTATGATCTTGGCTTTCCTGTGCCCTACTCTTTCATCTGTCAAGTGATGACATTAACATCTACCTTAAGGTTGTTGTGAGGTTGAATGAGATGATGTACTTTCGATCAGGGTTTCTCAGCCTCGGTACTGTTGACATTTTGGGCCAGGTAATTCTTTCTGTTCAGGGCGGAGCGTTTGGTGCATCGTAGGATGTTTCCAGCATCCTTAGCCTGTACCCAGTAGATGCTAGTGGCATCCCTCTAACCCCCTATAGTTATGACAATTAAAATGTCACAGAGGCGGAATCCCACCTGTGGAGGGCACAATAGGACTTGGTTAAGAGTCACTGGTCCAGGTGTATAGAGTGGTGCCTGGTGGAAAGAAAGTGTTTTATGGTATAATAATGGGAATAGTGGTACCAAAGATGATAGTACTTTCGATGCCACCCTGAGGGCCCTAGGAAGACATTTGTCAGCCTTTCATTTATTCTTTGTACTTAAATTTTTTATCTATGCCAGAATAAACTCCATATAGATTAATTAGTACATGTAAAAAGCTCTACCTTTAAACAACTGAATGAAAAAACAAGTAAATCTTTAGATTTGCAAATAAGGAAAGGGTTTTCGAGGTCAAAAGAAGTGATACTTCTGTAATGTTTAATGTTGGGTTTAAAACACATTGGGAAATTTTCTTTCCTCATAGATGTCATGACATTAAAAATAAACATGCATAATCTATAAAAACCTTGTAGTTATAATTGAAAAGCAAATTGGATAAAATGATTAATATGACAGATAAAGTGGTATGAAAATACTAATTTAAGTCAAAAAGAAAACCAGATATTTCCTATAGATAAGGACAAAGGAGGAAATACAGTCGTCCTATAAACATTTGAAAATAGTTCAAATTTAGTAATTTAAAAAATTTTTTTAATTATTTAAATTGGCAAAGATTTTAAACAATAGCATCCAATTCTGTTGTACAGTTAGGGAAGTGTTATTACATATTTTTTATAGGACAATGGATAGGTACAGCCCTTCTAGAAAGAAACATGGTGATAAATGTGCCCTAAAAATTCTCATACCATTTAGCCCCCCAAAATAAGTTTGGGAATAACGCCTACAGCGTAATCTGAAATGTAGACAAATATCGATGCATGAAAGTGTTTATTTCAAAGTTGTTTTAATATAAGCCAGCTAAATGTTCAGTATTGGAGAAGTAGTTATTTACAGCATATGGTAATCTGCAATCCTTAAATGCAGTATTTACACAGTGTTTCTAACGACATGCAAAATTCTTATAGTGTTAAATGAAAAAAGCAGGTTTTTAAGTTGCATATGCAGTATCAACTCAACCCAGAAAAACACTGGAAGGAAATATCCAAAATGTTAATATTTGTCCCTGAAATACACAAAACGTTAATATTTGTTCTGTAATATTTAGATTATGGATAATTTGTGAAAGTTAGTCACAACTATATGATTAAATTGATCATTTCATGACAGACAGCCTTTTCTTTTGTTTCTGTTCTTTTAGGTAATGTTTAGATACTATGCCTTGGAAATGAAAATGAAAGGGTTTAGGCTATGTTTCTCTAAATGGGAGAAATCAGAAAGTGTCAATGCCCAAAAATACAGCTTCATTTTTAAGTAAATTATAAATTGCAATATGAAACCAGTTTTGGAGGGTAGACTGCTTCCCCTGGTTGAGGTGAATTAATGGTTTTTTATACCGTGGTACTCTTTTTGTTCATTAGGTGTTAACGATGTACTCACTGCAGTATGGTTTTTGATGAAACAATCTAAGGTGTTCATTTCTGTTTTTGTAGTATGTGCAGAAGCTTATAATCCTGATGAAGAAGAAGATGATGCAGAGTCCAGGGTATGTAATTTACTGAATGAATGAATTTTAAATTGATGCCCTTGTCATAGCTAAGGAAAATGATCATAGAAAAGATGTTAACAGGCATTCAGGTTAACAGGAGACATAATGGAATTATTTTGACTATTTCTTTTCCTAGTCTCATCTCCAATAGCCTACTCCTGCTGAGTCTTGCAGAATTATTTTTATCCGAAGAGTATAAAGAGATATATTTTATCTCTTTACAAAATATATCCTGGTGAGGAAAAATGTTTTCAGCTGTCTTTCTCATAGTGATAATATTATTTTTCTTAGACAGTGTTTCTAGTAAACAAAAATACTGGGAAAGACCTTCTACTCCTCTTAATTTATAACAACAGAAAGTTACTCTGAAACAAACAAATCACAGTAAAATCACATCCAGTGTGTCAGTACAGCAGTTAGGATTATTTTTTAAATCTGTGAGTCTTCATCGTTTGCTCAGCAGCTGACTTCTTGCAGGCCCTAATGTTTTTGTAAGAATTTGTCCCCTGTGATGTCAGCAGTTTTTAAGCTATGTCTTTCAGCTCAGTTCTATTGTTTATTTAGTAAAAAGTAAACTAAGAGATAACTATGCCTGGAAATGGAAAGTAATTAAATTTCTGCACCACCCTCCTCCCCTTTTTTTGAGTACGTATGTTGCAAAAGTGCCTCTTGTTTCTTTGGCCTTAAACAGTATAAACAAAAACTTATTTTTGTAGCTCTGAATAGTACTTAAGTAAGATTGAGGTTTCTTGTGGAGAAGCAGATACTACGTCCCTAAGTCATTACATCATTAAGCTCCTTGAAACATATGTAAAATCCAGTGGTATCAGGAGGCTTACAACATGGAAGATCTTGAAATCCCATTTTATTCCTGGACCCATGGGGATTCCCACTACCAGGGTTGTGGAAGCTCATTTCTCACTATTAGAACTTCAGTTATTTTCATGAAGTTTATAAATCCTAGCCTGGAAATGATGTTTAGGATTAAGGTATTTTTCCTAATCTGTGATGTACTGTTACCCCTCTGTATAGTCTGAAAAACTAGACCTTGCCTACCATGTACTTTACTATACCCGTATACTGTATCTAGCAGAAACAGTACTGGGTGGCATTGAAGATAACATGCATTCTTTATATGTGTGTATAAATGGATATGATAAAATTTAGTAATTGGGATAAGAGCAATCTGGATGAGCTGGTTTAAATTAATAAAAATCTAAATGAACATTTGCAATACAGTTTAAAAACAATATGCAGTATCTCATTGATTCAAAAGCTGTTAGGCCTTGAATTTTAGCTGCCATTTAATTCATGAGGTAAATAAAGTGTTTTGGCAGGTTCACTCCAGCTAATTTCTAACAGTTTTGTTGGGGAGGCTATACCAGTTAAGATTCATTTGGCTGTGTAAAACCTAACCCTATCAAGACAAATGTGAAAAAGAAAACACTGGGGAGAGATTATCAGACAAATGCTTGGAGATCATATTGAACTGCAGAAAGCATTCAAAGGCCAAGCTGTAGGCCTGGCAGGCAGGAGCCAGCTCGCCTCTGGGGTCCATCAAGAGCCAGAGTGTAAGACTTAGCATAGTGTCTTTGAAAGGGGCTCAGCTACTCATCTCTGTTACTGTGTCTTTCAGTTCAAAATTCCAACTTCCCAAGAGTTTCTGATGCACCCAGCTTTGGCCCAGGATAGGGCCAGGATCAAAAAGTCCAACCTACTTGGGAACCACTTCTATAAATAAGGACAGTTACTAGAGGAGGAGGAATCTTTGTGGTTGGGCCTTTACCGTAAGAGCTGTCCCCTGTAACACTTTTTAAAGTTATTTTTGATAGTTTTTTTTGGTATTTAATATATTAATTATATGTTTGATTATAGCAAAGTACCTTAGGTTATCAATTAGGTTGAATATTCTCTCCTCTAAATGTGTTACTAAAAATTGTACTTATTTTGGTCTCAAAAACTATGAGGCATACCACACCACATGCTTGGGAATGATTATTACAGATTTCAAAATTATTTAGATCCAGAAGCATATTGGGAAATATCTATAAGGAAAATGTATACTGTGTTGTGATAAAATTACATTTCATTTGGACATTTTATATTACTTCTGAGACTCACCAAATCCTTAAGTCTGTAGTACAAACAGAAATTTATCCTCTGATACGAATTCAAAGAAAATGTAAATACTTAAGACTCTTTTTGGAAAATAACAGATTTTAGTTGGAATGCCTTTAATAAATGAAAATTTAAGGGTTGTCTAAATCTAGCATGTAGAAACTGGTAGAGAACAGTTGATAAACTTAAGGGTAGAGTATTTCTATGTTTCTCCACAAAAATTTTTTGGAGTTCCATCTGCATGTCTGGTCTGGTGCTAGATGTAAAGTGGTGAGCAAATGGACAAATCTCTGCCCTCTTGGAGCTTACAGTCTAGAGAGAGAAGCAGACAAGTGAATACATTAATGAAAAGTTAAAAAACATGAAGTGCTAAGGAAACAGCAAAACACTGTATGGATCCAAACACAAGCCCCAAGCCAGCAGGGGCTCTGATACTCTGGAATGGTTGAAACAAGCATCCTTGAGGTGAGGCTGGAAGGATGGGCAGGCAGAGAGTCTTGCCAGAAGCCCCTTAGGGCATTTTAGATGGAGCTGAGCCTGGCATCGGGGAAGGCAGGTGGAGCTGGGCCAGATGGCTGCAGCGAGGGTAGAGAAGGAAGGAATGGGGATTTAATTCTCACCAAACGTGATGGAGTCCATTGAGGTTTTAAGCTGGAGAAGGGAGTATCCTGATTTAAATTTTTGAAAGATTATTTTCAGCTCCGTGTGGAGAATGGATGGGACAAATACGAAAATATCTTGTATAGATTTCTCTTGCCTAACAACATAGATACAGTGTTTTGTTTTGTTTTGTTTTGTTTTGTTTTTGTTTTTTGTTTTCTGTTTTCTGATTTTTTTGTTTTTTGGTTTTGGAAACAGTCTTGCTCTGTCACTCAGGCTGGAGTGCAGTGGTACAATCTCAGCTCCCTGCAGCCTCTGCCTCCTGGGTTCAAGCGATTCTCATGCCTCAGCCTCCCGAGTAGCTGGGACTGCAGGTGTGCACCACCACATATCTGTCTAATTTTTTGTATTTTTAGTAGAGATGGTGTTTCGCCCTGTTGGCCAGGCTGGTTTTGAACTCCTGGCCTCAGGTGATCCACCCACCTTTGCCTCCCAAAGTTAGGATTACTGGCGTAAGCCACTGTACCCAGTCGATATACAGTGTTCTTTAAAGAAAATGTCTAAGTTTAAACCTTACTTATTAACTGGTTTTCTTTTCTTTTCTTTTTTTTTTTTTTAATGGAAAGGCAGCAAAAATTTAGAGCAGAAGTTGGCAAACTTTTTTTGGTAAAGTTGTTTTTTTTTTTTTTTAACTGAAAAATGCACTGTTTTCCGAGAGTAAATATTTTAGGCTTTGAGGAGTCAACTACTTTGCAACTACTCAGTTCTGCTGTAGTAGCTTGAAAGCAGTTGTAGGTAATACATCAATGAAAGGCACGTCTGTTGTGTTATATTAAAACTATGACATTTGAATTTGAATTTAATATAGATTTTATATGTCAGGAAATATTATCATTTGTTTGATTTTTTTTCCCCCAGTCATTAAAAAAATGTAAAATTATTCTTAGCCTAGAAGCCATACATACAAAAACAGCTTTGCTTGCAGGTGTAGTTTGCTGGTCCCTGGTTTAGAGTATAGACTCTGTAGCTGGCCTGGCTGGCATGAATCCTGCTCTGTACCTTATGGACTGGATGACACTGGACAAGTGATTTAGGCAAATTGATTTCCTTAACTCTAAATTTCTTAACTTGCTTCATGGGATCTATCACTAGGATAAAATGAGTTAATATTAGTAAAGCCTTAAAATAGTACCTGGCATGTATTTATGCTACGTTTGTTTAACAAATAACATTTTTATCTGAAGTCAGGAATGAATTTTAATGAAAACCAAAGTGGCCTCTGGTACACTAAAATCACAGTTTGGGTGTATTGCTGAGGCCTCAGTGACCCAGAGACAAATCCCTGAGGTGGGATCACGCCAAGCCCCAGAGGAAAAATGGGGGAGAGCATCTTCAGAGCAGGTGGCTACAGTGCAGGGGAGCCGCAGTGTCAGAGACTGCACCTGCTTTCTGACTGTTTACTTTCCCCAGCGAAGAGGGATTTTACTGACGAGGTTAATTACAGAGAGTGGACTCTGGATGCTGAGGAGTAATGGCAGGGTAAGGGAAAAGGGAAACAGGAGGAGAGCAGTAGACCATAGTGATGGAGGTGGGGCAGAGAAACAAAGACTACTTAGAAATGGTCATTGGTTCGGGCACGGCGGCTCGCGCCTATAATCTTAGCACTTTGGGAGGCCGAGGTGAGTGGATCACGAGGTCAGGAGTTCGAGACCAGCTTGGCCAAAGTGGTGAAAAACCCTGTCTTTACTAAAAATACAAAAATTAGCTGGACGCAGTGGCAGGCACCTGTAATCCCAGTTACTTGGGAGACTGAGGCAGGAGAATCGCTTGAACCCAGGAGGCGGAGGTTGCAAGGAGCCGAGATCGCACCACTGCACTTTAGCCTGGGTGACAGAGCAAGACTCTGTCTTTAAAAAAAAAAAAAAAAAAAAAAAAAAA